CTGCTGAACTCCTGTGGGATTAAGACAGACTCTTCTTTGAATGTCCCTGCCTTATAGACAACTCAGGGATGTCCCCTGTCAGTCTGGTGAGAGGGCAGGAGGGAGAGGCAAAGCCAGCACCAGCAGTGTCCAGGGGAGCAGCCCGAGTCTGTGGCCAGGAGGCGATGGAAGTGGCACTGGGGACAGATGTGGCACTGGGCCTGGTAAGGAGAGGTTCTGAACAAGTGACTCGCTGCCTGAAGCCAAAATATGTTTGAGAGAGGAACTTTCCTAGAAGAAATGTTAATGCTAGGTCTGGAATTACTCATTCCATGTTGTTGCTGGAAAGGTGCTTCCAACATTTCGAAGATCTAAATATCAACAGTGATGAGATGATGCAAATTGCATCAGGAGAGGCTATAACAAGCCTGGGGAGTATGCGTGACCCTTGCTTTTGATTTATGTTTTGCAATTCTGGATGTTTTGAGTTTGTCTTCCAAGATCTGTATTCCCTTCTGTGTCTGTGAGTGAGCCGCAGCTGCCAACGAGCTGAAACCTGGGAGCAGAGATGAAAATAATTATGGGCAAGGATGGAAATGAAAGTGCTCCCAGGTGGCTTTTTGCTGTTTACATGGCTCAGTCCTGCTTACAAGAGCAGGGGGATAGAGAGCTCTTAGCTGGTCCCATGCTGTGAGTAAAGTGCACCCTTGCCTGCAGGGAGAGAGCTGAGCATCCAAATCCGTGCTTTGGGAAGGTGGATTACACACGGTGGTGATGTCTTCATGAGAGAACGGCTCTCTTACGGCGTTTGGGTTGTTGAGTTTATCAGTGTTCACAGTTGCTTTGAAATTAAATTTCAGTTGTTCACAAATAAGATGTGTTAGCGGGAAGAGAGGAAACTGAGAGAAGCGGGACTGGCTGGATTAGGCCAGCAAAGGGTCCTGCTGACCTTCCTCCATGCAGCAATCGATCCCGCTAGCTCAAAGGGAACCGCAGCAAAGCTTCCAGTGGTGTTGGTATTACCTGCTCCCAAAATCAAGCTTGGACCAATTTACACTGGTGATGAGCTTGAAATTCTCATCCCCCAGGATGAGAAAGTGCCAAAACCATGCCAGTGCCAGGACTGCTCCAGCACTGGTGTTCCCCATATCTGCAGGTGGACTCGGCTCCAGCCCTGCCTGGGACCTCTCGCTCCTCACTGCAGGATGCAAACGGTGGCCACGTTCCGGTAACCAGCAGAAACTGAGCCATTTTCTGCCATTTGGCCACTTATAAAACACAGCAGGTTGCCAAGTCTCCGACAAAGAAGCTGCAAAATTACCAGCAACCCACTACCTTACTGCTCGTTAGCCACTCTCAGCTCTGTAAATGCTTTAGATTGGGCTTCGTTTATCTATTTTCACGAGTGCTTCTGTTTTTCTTGGCACTGCCGGACCCAGGGTCACGCCAGACTCGCTTGAAATCCCTCTCTCCCTTCCCCGGTTGGATTTGCCCCCCCTTTTTTTAACGAGCGTGCAGGCAGATGTAACCTGAAGGACAGCGTTTGCTGCCGGCGCTTGTAAAAATAGGACGGCGTGTGAATGGGATGGAGCTGCTCTATTTTCTGCCGCCGTGTCTGCAGCAGCAGCACAAAGCTGCCGAGGAGCTGCGGTTGCTGCAGGAGGTGTTGGCAGCGGGTGCTGCCGGTCCCCTCCAGCCCCCGGTGGGGGCTGTGCTCCCTGGTCTGCCGCGGCCATCGCCTTGTTGGAAATAACAGCAGTGCATACGGTCCCTGAAAACCAGTAGTCGCTATAGCGAGGCATTAGGCTGAGACACAGAATATATACTGACACAGCCTCTGTACACAGAATATACACAGACACGGTCTCCATGCAGTATATAAGCATCCCTGCTGCATTGTACGTGTCCTGTCCACCCCAGCTAGGGAATACGGGGGGGTTTGTATGAAAGTCTTAGCAACTGTCTGATACAGCTGAATAGGTAAAAGCTTTCTAGGGAGAGTGAAAGTTGCGGTGGCAGAGGAAGGAACCAGGCCATGTTCAGGCTGTTTCACTTAAAGACCCTCCTCTGACAATTCTGGTCAGAATTGTTTTTCACTTTCTTGGACACCATCTCAGCTGTCACACTGAAGTTAGGTTGGCTAAGAGCCTGGGCTAGTCTTGGGCTGTGTGCAAGTCTTTTTTTGTCTCTAAATATATTCCTGTTTCATTAGCTTTTAATTTTTCCAAGGGGGTTCTGGCAGAGGCAGCATTATCTGCCTATTATCTCTCTCCCTCTGATCTATTTTATCAGATAAAACCCTCTCTGCCTTCCCTCAGGTGAGCTCAAACAGGTCTGGGTGATGGCCAACAACAAGCTCAAAGACATGGAAATGATAAATGGGTTTTGTTTTGCTTCATTTGCTGCTGAATCTGTTCCGGAGCATCTCTAATAACCTCATGAGCTCCCAAAGCTCTCAGGTACGGATGGCTGTCCCTGAGACCTGCGTGCAGGGTGGGACACCAGGAACTCTACCCCCGCCTGCCTGCACTCCCAGCGTCCCGACCCCAAAACCTGCCTGTTTGGCCCCAAACCAAAGGTGGGGCAAACCTCTGCAGTGTCTTCAGCAGCTGCTGCTCCTGAGAACAGCAAAACCTCTTGAGAGGCGGTGAGATTTGGGGCTTTGCTCCTGCTCTCCGAGGGGGTGGGAGCAGCCACCCAGCACGGGGGAGCAAGCCGTGCCGCGCAGCCAGCTTGTACCTTCAGCTGTTTTGTCTTAAAATACCCACTGGTGTCATTTTTTACATCCTACAGTCTTTACCCCAAGCTGTGTATCTCACCCTTAAATGGAGTTATATTTTTAATTGCTGGCAGAGCATTATTATTAGACGCAAGCCTGCTGCTAACGTGCTGTGTAGCTCTGCGGAGAGCTTGATGAACCTACTTCATCTTGCAGACAGGCGGGGATGAATCATCCCGCTCGTCTGCAGCCAGTGCACATCCTAAAATGTGTCTTCTCCCACTCAGGCTGATTGCTGGGACCACCACTTGAGGGAAAAGCCGGCTTGAAAGCTGCTCTCCAGCCCTATTATCCCACTGAGAGGCGAGGGAGCGCTGCGAGGTGGGCGGCAGCACCAGCCTCTCGCTGCCCATACAGCGAAATGTCAGCCCCGTTATGGGGAAAAAGCCGACCAGTTGCTCCACGACTGGGTGCTGATGGTGGCCCATCTCAGGGGACCATGGCACGTGCGCAGACTGAGGACCTGGCTCCCAGCTGTGTGAGCAGCAAAGGGGCTTCCACAAATGAGTGTGGATTCATGACTCCCACTGAGATGGGGATATTTAGTTCCCCCCATAGTCTGGATGAGCCCCTGGGCTGCCAACCGTGGGGAAACACCGGGGTGAAGGAGGCTATCTCAGGGTGTGAGGGGGCATCCCGAGGCCGCC